GTGGGATTGGAGTGTCTGAACAAGTAATTTCCCTGAAAGGATAATGTCACAGATTGTCCTCAATTTATTGCCTTGCCTGAGGGAGATAAGCAACTAGAGGAAAAATGTCCAAGAGGAGACCTTTTTCACTGGCCCCTGACAGTAATCGCCTGGGTAATAATATCCAGCGTGAGCTTGCTTTGAACATGCTACATATCTTCCATAGATTTTAATCTCTGCCCTCGCTGCCTGCCTATAAATTATTACATGGCTCTTGTCAACAGCATTTAACAGTGATCCAGCTGCCTATCTGTGAATGAGAAGCTCACAGTGTTAACCTGATCTCCTCACCACCCCAAAAATGCTGTAAATGGAAAACTGCGGCTAGTGAACTGAACGTGAAGTAAAGAGTCCCGAAAAGCAAAATTCAGTTAGTGCTTGTGAAGTTCACTTGTTGGCGCACTTTATGGCAACAACAACAATTGGTGGGATTTGGAACAGAAGCTTCAGGTACTATAATTCGGAAACAAAATTCACACTCACATTAATCCAAACATCTCAAATGTGTATCAGTTGTTTTTCCAAATTCATTCAGTGAGAGGAGTGTGTTTGTATTGTTTCTGCCGGGTGTCCCTGCATTGTGCTGACTAAACAATTTTCTTATTAGCTACCATTTGTATAACTTTTTTTTGATTCTCATCAAAATCAAAGCAGTAAATTGCAAACTGTATAACAAATTCATTCTATTGTGGTACTAAATGTGTGCACAATTACTTTGCAGCATTTCAAATCTATTTATATTGGGTTTGCATTTAATCTGTGGTTGATTATCGTGTAACAGCACACCCAACATATAAGTGTTTAACCTGGCCCAGACATAAGCGGGGATCAATTTGATCCCTTCAATCAAAACATCCCCTCCCCTCCCACCCAATAGTTTTAAAGTGGAGCTTTAAGCTGCATCGCCAGGCACGATGACAGGCTGTGTGAAGTTATGATCAACACCAGCTGAATAGTTTGAGCAAATTTCAGTCTTTAATGTTGAAAGCCATGGACAATGCCAGGTGATTTAATGCCCTGTTGATATGGTTTGTGGGGAATCAGTCTAAATATTCAACCAATTTGCTGAGGAAAGCAGTCCGAATAGGGCTTCCGATCTTATGAGGATCATGCCCTTTGCTTTATGGTGGCTATTCACCTCTTCTAAGAGATTCATTCAGTGTGGGAGAATCCACGAGTGGGCAGATTATCATGGTTTGTGGGAAGGAGTGGGTTTGATGGCCAGAATGCTCTTTTCTTGTTCCAGGTTTATCAATTTAAATTCAAAATTGACTAAATTCTGATTTTTTTCAATATAAAGAAATGACGGGAACTCACCCATGAGTTTTCTTCACAGCACTCATATTTGATAATGTTGTCAGAAACCACTTTTTTGACCCTCTTGTATTCTAATGCTATTTTCTTGACTGCCATCATGTTTGACCTCTTTTCCTCCTAATTCGGAATGCTCTCGAAAACCACCTGCATCAACACAACTTTCCATCTGGATTTCTGAGAGTATTGTTCCCTGTTCCAGTTACACATTGTCCTCTTGGTTTCTTTGTTATCCTCCTTTGTAGTGGTTTTTGCTTTGTTGGATTTCCTGCACAATTTGTGCAGTTGGCAACTTTTCTCTTTGTGATCTAAGGTCTTGAAGTTTTTTTTTTGTTTCCGTGGCACCGTCTTACTCTTTGTTTTATCCTGACCAGCTTGTGTTCATGGCGTTTCTGGCTGTCTTTATTTCTGTACATACGTTAATCAGAGTAAAACTTTCTTTTTCCTTCCGTGCTTTTAAACCTATCTGCAACAGTGTGTCACCTCGGTAATATAAAAATCTGATGACATTTCTGCAAAACTATCGTAATAACAAGTGGCTGAAGCTCAGTCGCTTCCATGATTCGCGTGGAAAGCAGGATTTCCATTTACAGCACATTCCACCTCCTTTGATTTGGATCACCCCCATAGAATTCACAGTGAACCCCTTATACCTGACTTTTAGTCCAGCAATCTGGCCTGAATCTGAATCTAAACTCATGTGCTTCACGTTCAACACAAGAATCCAAACTAACATCATAAGAGACTTGCTCTCATCAGATTCGGGGTCATTCACAAATGACTGCCTGCCATTTTAAGCACATAAGCACTAACTGAATATCCTTCCAGGAATGAATCATTCACAGTTTCTTTTCTATTTATCCATCTAATCTATTTATTATAATATAATAATAATATAAATATTTATATAGCATCTTTCACTTCAGGAGAACATCACAAAGTGCTTCACACACAAACAGATATCTATCTATTCTCGTCTCTTGTCAGAATTTCAAGCTCCTGGTCAGCAGTTTTTTTTTATTTTATCACGTGTTCAGATTGTTGATGTCTTGAGTCCCACGTAGTGCCTGTGACTATTGACTAGAGAGGCAAGTTTCCAGTCCTCAGCTAAAGTTAGTCTATAAACTGGAGAATTGATTTGGAAAGGCACGTGTGAACTCGCCTTTCACGTTTCCTTTTCCGGCAGAAGCTCCCAGCCTGCCTGTCTGCCTCCCCCAGCATTCTCCATGAGATCAAGAAGACACCTTGAAGCCGGTGATCACATTCGTTAGCACTCTGAGGTGCAGGGGGCTGCAGCACTTAGCAGGCAACCTGTTATCTTAAAAGAACATTTCCTTCAGCTTTGGATTTGGAAATGTTTTGAAAGATTACCTGCTCTAGTTGCACTGGACCTGCACATTTGCACTGGCATGATGCTTCTGGGCAAAAGTTATAAATCTGAAGTGCATTCAAGTTCCAAAATGTCACCTCTGGCCCAGAGGTGATCAGATAAGAGACGACAAGCTAACAGCGCCGTTCGAGAGTTCAAAGCAGATCAGAGCCGGAGGCACCAGATAACAAGAAGCCCATATACATAGAAATCTGTTTATAAGCCAGGAAATTAAAGACATCAAACAGATTTTGATTTCTCTTTTAAAGCAAATACGTGCAAGACAGACATTACTGGAATTAGTATCTAGAGGATGATATTAAGAGCTGCCTTAAAAAATAGCAAATTCTATTAATTACCAGTAGTGTGAAGAAGACACTAATGGCAGTTAGCAGAATTTGCTTACACACCATGTGATGGGCTGGAATATTAAATTGCCCAAATGTTTGCTGAGAAGTAATCAATCTAGGTGATTGATTACTCTCTTGTCAGAGAGAAAAAGGAATTGTATCATATTGTAGGTCTTTGTAGATTAGAGCATTCCCTTGTCAAACAGTATGGTTCTATTATAATAATCTTTGCATTGTTATAGCGACTAATCAGGTCGTCGACACGTCTCAAAGCACTTCATGTGATATTCTGTGTATTTTGTGGGCACAGCAATGTCCCACAAACAGCCATGGAGTGAGTGACCAATTTTATTTGGGAAATTGTTGGCCAGGACACTAGGAGAGAGCAACACTCTTCTCTTCGATAATGCGCCTGGGTCACCCATCAAAGATCTGTCATTAATATGTGTTGGGGAATCACTTGTTATGAGAAGATCTGCCATCTTTTTCTTCTGTCGACTCTCTCTGTCCCCATTTATTCCAAGTTTCCAGCATCCACAGTTTTGTGTTTGATCTCCAACAGTGTGTGCAAGGTGCTTAACCAACTGTTCCGTGTCTTGTTTGTTTCCTTTGGTTCTCTCCACAATCAGCATAATACATAAATTTTTTATGCCCAGGTCCCTCGGGCATCAACTGCTCTATTTGAGTCGCTGCAGTTATTAGGAGTTTCTCAGCAAAAAGAAGTAAATGTGTTTTGTAAATTTGTGATCCTTTTATTTACATCAACAGACACTCTTGGATCTCTTTTTTAACTGTTAAAAGCTGGAAACAAAAAAAAAAGCACTTCCCTGTCCGCACTGGCCTTATAGATGGCTTGCTGAGGGTCGGTGCAAGCCATTTTCTGAACACATGTTTGGTACGACACTTAATGTACACAAGGAAAAGGAATCCTAATTGGGAGGGGAAGGTTTGTAAAGCATTCCAGTATATGCTTTTGTTTTTGAAATTCTTTACTCCAGATTAGAACCATTTGTAGATTTGCTGGTCCGCGTTTCATCGTGTCTGGAGGCTATAAGTGGTCACATATATTTCAACTACAAGTTCCAGATCTCGCACAAGCGAACCCAGATGGGTGTCGCTTGGCATAGCTGATAGCACGTTCACCTCTCTTTCAGAAGGTTGTGAGCTGAAACCCATGCCAGGACTTCAGCTCATAGTCTAAGGTGTTGCTTCAGTGCAGTGCTGGGAGTGTGCTGCATTGATTTAGGTGACCTGTTCTATAAAATTGAAGGTGGTAGATGAATATTTCCCTGAAGAAAAAAAGTGCATTGGACTGATCTGACTAACTAAATGAGACCAAATTCGAACCTGATCACAAATTTTAAAATGTATATTTTAAATAGAGGGTACCGATTCATCCCTATATTTTTGGATAAATGCATATAGATTTAGACGAGGATATGCTAAACCGGCTCCTGTCTGCTTTTTCGATTGTTCAGATGAAATGTTAAAGATCCCACAGCGTAGTTTGGAAGAAAAGAATTCTCTTGTGTCTTGCTGCGATATTCCTCCCTCATCCAAAATTCACCAAGACACAGGTTAATTAGTTGTGCATCTCATTTCTGTTTGTGGGATTTGGTTGGGGCAGATTAACTGTCACCTCCGTCGGCAAAACAGTTTCTGTACTTCAAAGTAACTCACAATGTGAATTGCATTTGAGACGTCTCGGTGTGAATTCAAATGCAAGTGTTAAATGGTTTGTGTGTTTTTCAACATTGTACATCTAAAGGCATAATTGCGACATCCATTTTTTAATGAGTACGCTTGTCGAAACTAAAATTGATGGTATGTGTTGATAAAGAAATTCCTTAGCTCAAAGTAAACATTCTTTTTCATTTATAAATGGGGGAAAAAATCAGACATAGTTACATTTAATGTTATCGTTTTAGATTGAGATGAAGTCAAAGATGGTGGAAGCAAAATTTCATGAAGAGAAGCTCAAACTGCAGCAAAAGCATGACACGGATGTGCAAAAGGTAAGGCTTGATATCAGTCCTGTTTTCTCCCAAAGTGTTCAGCTGCTTCGATAACATCTCTACTGTACGTGTGCCTTATCACGTTGTCAACTTGTCTTATAGCACTTCAGAGGATTTTATTGTGAAGTGTAATGATTGTACATGAATGCAACAGCCGATTTGTGCCTGCAACGTCATGCAAAACACAATATCCCACAAACAGCCATGAAGAGAAGGACCAATTTTTAAGTGGAGGATAGTTGGCCAGGAAACTCTCCTCTCTTTTCAAATAGTACCATGCCATGGAATTTTTAATGACCACGTGACCAGGCAGATAGGACCTTGATTTAACATGTCATCCAATGGATTGCACCTCCGACTAGCAGCACTCCCCCAGCATTGCACCGTAGTGTCAGCCGAGACCATGAGCTCATTCATCTTCCCAACGTGGGGTTTGAACCCACATACATCTGATTCCAAAGCGAGCGTGCTACCGACTGCGCCAGGCTGACAATCATATTATTACTTAAGATCGTGCACTGATAGGCAATGAGCTTCTTTGCTGGGTTGTGAATGCCAAGTTTCATATCACATCCATGGTCTTTGTGATTGGAACCCTGACCTGCACATGACTTGTTTGTGGATTATCGGATTTTTTCTTGATTCGCTGTGTAACCTTGAAACCGACCCAAACCGAGGAGAACTGGGCCGCTTTTTGATGTGGTTAAGTCATGTTTTCTGAATTTCCTGCAAGAAAAGAAAAGTCACGACCACGTTCATTAAAGAGACAAAACTTCAGTAGCTTGCAGGATACAGCTGTTGTTAGTCACGTAACCTAATAAGTCATAAGTGATGTTTGTTGGTATTGAATAAAACTGGGTCATCTTGTTATAATTACACCGTACGTCCAGCGTACAATAGGCAGGTCATGCACAAGATCTGCTGGCATTATTTTTCACCCCTCTTCTACTTTTCCCACTCTCTTGCTTCTGCATAGTCAGAACTTCATACTCATTTTATCCCATTGGAATACAGTCAATGATGAATACAGTCAATGTTCCCCTGGGTTTGCCTGTATAAAAGCCATTTTATTCTGATCAGAAGGTTGCAGGTTTGATGAGCTGAATTAGCTGATATCAGTCAGGGCAGCATGTAGGGCTATAATTGGGCACAGTGATCCTGGGGTAGGGAGGGGAAACTGGCCATGGTTCCTGCTCCTGAGCACTATCTTGATACCTGTGGGTTGGTGGACATCCAAGGACAAATTCAGGCTCGACTCTGATGCCCCCGAATGGCCAGATTTGACATTTGAAAAGGAGTCAAATACATTGTACGGAGGAAGGGAGAAGTGGGGGAAAGAAGAAGAGACTCCTTCCTTTCTCAGTTACTTATCTTTTTAATTTGATATTCATCTTCATTCGTTTTGAAGATCACCGTGAAACATAGTTAAGGATGGCCACACTCCTGTGCGTGAGGAAGCCTGTCATTGACAACAACAACTTGCATTTATATAGCACCGCTCATGCAGGGTAGCGTCTCAGAGCGTTTGTGACAAGCAGCAACCCCAAGCAGGGAGTGAATATTCTGTGTTTGGTTAAGAAAAAAAGGAGGAAAACAAGAAAATGGCATTGTTTAGTTTAATTCATGTGTTTTAAATAACCTCTGACGCCAGGACTACTAAGCACTTGCTTTGTTAAAATAATAGCTTTCTGTAAAACCACATTAGAAAGCGGCAAATGATTCCGCGCAGGACTAATGGCCGTGGTAAATTGGTCTAATTTTGAAGAGTCTGGGGAAGAGTGATAAGGATACAAAATGCTAAATAAAACTGGTGGATTAGCAGGGAGATGATTTTGTCTTCACTGAAACATAAATATTAAATGCGGGCTTCATCTGTATCTGCTCGTGCTGGTTAAAAGCCCCAGTGTGACCTGACCTGCCTTTGTAATTCAGTAAGACAAAGATCCAAAGGAATGGTGGGGTGATTTAGTCCTGAGGCCTCCTCTGTGGGTCTTGCAGCTTCAGATGCTGGAAGTTGCCGAATGTTAGACTACTGCAGTCATTTTTAATTCAAACACTATCAGCAGACAGGAAGTCCCTCTGCTGGAGGGACCGTCTTATCCTTACATCAAAGAGTTCAGTCTCAGATGCTAGTATTTGCTCAGGTGCATCTTACACATTGACATTGTGTGATTGTATCTGCCATCAATGATGGTCCAAAGTGTGTGGCCCGATGAGAGCAAAGACAAAACTCCCACCCTCTGCTGGCTGGGCTTTGACGTGCAGCTTCTCATTTATATTGAGTTGAGCTTTCTATGCCACTGCCCGGCGAGTGTAATGCCTCGGACAGATGCATTTGATGAAAGACTCCTTTCAGTTTTGCCGATGCAAAGGACAGGTGAAGTGCACTTGATGTTCACTCAACTGTTTAAAAGGCCGCCCCTGTTAGAACAGGTCGTGGTGCACCTACACACAAATCACACAAATGCATAGCTTCCAGAATCTTCTGTCTTTTGATGGGAACAGCAGGGACCTGTGTGTGTGTGCGCGGTAGAAACTAGCTGGTAGGTCAACAAGAACAAACACTTGCATTTATAACAAAAAGCCACAAATTGAAGATAATCACAAATAGATGTAAAGGGGAGTAGAAAAATGTTCTCTTTTGTGCTGGGAAGATTCAATAAACAGCCATGAGTGGAACGATCAATTCATCTGAAGAGTTGATCCAGAGTTTGTTTCCTGCAGTCCTAATTAATACCTGAGACAAGCTGCAACAAGAAAAGATCATTCAGCCCATCAGGCCTGTTCTTTATAGCTGATAATTTTAAATAATTTGTTTTGATCTCCAATATCAACACTTTAGTTGGAGAACCATTCCTATCAAGTGTCACTGAGCAACCAGGAAGGGCTTGGCAACCAGGTGATGGGTTTTAGTTGTCAGTGAAGTAGATTTAAGATCTGACCTTACTCCATTGATCTCAGATGCTTTCCTTCCTCACTTGAGTTGGTTGAATTATTGACCATCTTCTGATACCTTATATAATCTGAAATCCTTTCAGCTCTGGATGCAAAAACCAACATTCTGCAAGTTAAATAAATTGCACTTTATCCCTAAACCTCTTTTTGTTGCCTCTATCCCTGTTAAGTTGCAAGATTGGTTCTGGTACAGGAATAGCACTGTGTTCCTTAACGTGTTAAATCATTCGTTGCCCAAATGTCATATTGCATTATTTATATTCAAAATGTTCTGTTTGACGTGGTAAGCAGCTGTTAGATATTATGATTATAAATTATTATCCAACCTAACTTAAGTCCCAATCTATATTTATTTTTCACTCGGAGCTATCTTTTGATTCCCTCTTCTCCTCTCTTCCCCTGCCCCCCACCCCCCCCCCCCCAATATAACGCTCGGCAAATCCTTGCTTTATTCGGAAATAAATTATGTTCGGCTGTTAATTGCATTGCAGTTCTGAGCAGCCTTTGATTTTTTTTTCTTTTGAACTGTAGAAGTTATCAGTATGCATTTGTATGTGACTAGTCAAAGCATTTGCAGTGCATCAAGTTGATTCTTATCAATAAGAACTATGAGTAATATAATTTGTTCACTCTTTGAGGAATGTAGCGGTATTTCAGAAGGAATTTGGGAATTGTACCCTTTTATACCCACTAAACTGTCGGTATGATCTTTTTATTTTAATTCTACAAATAGTATTTTTGAGAATATTTGATTTTTCTCTCCTCCACACGCCTTTTCATTTTCTCACCAGGCACAACAGTAAGGGAGTGAAGGTACATGTAGCTGCTCTATTACTCCCCTCAGTGTTACTCCCTGTTGACAGTATCCCCTCCAGAACTGTAGTCCAATCTTAAAGATTCAATCAATTCTGAGCTACTAAAGATTAGCATTTGTGGTAGGTGGGGCTGGGTTTGTGGTATGGAGTTTGGTGAGGGTGTGCAGTGTGGGGCTGAGTGTGTGGTGTGGGATCCAGTGTGGTGGGGGTCTGGTGTGGTGTAGAGTTGGGTTGTGTGGCATGGCAGTGTTTTGTGGCTGATGTATCACTTTGAAAATGCAGCATTTGTGCACCGCTCCAGCCTCGGGATTTGGAAGCTTTTGAAAGTTCTGATTTTGAATAGTTGTCTCTGAAGAATTGAATCTGGATAGTGAAATTCCCATCAAATCCTGCCGTTTCCAGGAGCATTCAGCTAACTGCCAAATCTAAGGTTCGAGTTAATTTCAGTACATTCGCATTGCCCTGGCCTTACTTTTGAAGCATTTCTAAATAACGTCAGTGCTCTTTCCATGAGGGATTTTATATTGTTTATCACATTGGTGGAGTTTAGCTAGCTGGAGATTTAATACAGAAGTGGATATCATTGCATGGTGTTCTGTCTCTGGGCATGAGAGCCCCTCTTGAACCCGACCCTGTGTGCCACATTTTCTGTGCTTCTTCCAGATTCTGGAACGGAAGAACAATGAGATCGAGGAACTGAAGGCATTGTGTAGGAGCAAGCAGAAGGAAGCAGAGGAGATGAACAAGAACCTAGAAAGGAGAGGTGAAGAAACTAACACAGCGTTTCAGTCATTGATGCAATTTGCTCAGTGCAGCGGCCCCTGTACTGTTCTCACAGTGTGTGGCCTCCGAGCCTGAGAGAAGGGAGGATACTTCTAAATGGAGACTAATGGGTGGATGGGAGTGAGTGCAAAAAATAATCTCATCCAGGGGTACATATGATATCGTAAATCGTGGGAGCGGAGCTCAAGTTGTTTGTCATCTCTGAACAAGATGAGATTGTTTTATGCACTTTTCTTTGAGCAGACGTTTTGCAGTGTTGTTTTAGCTGTGCAAACGAATCTGACTCGTATTCTCAGCTTGGGCTGTTCTATCTTTAATTTAGCCGTACATGTCAAGCTGACATTGACCAGAGCTTGATTCAGCTGATGAATAGTGTCCTGACTGAAAGGTTTAAAGGTTGAGATAAACATCGCAAGGTTACTAGAATTTAATGGGAAATAACACTGTTCTTATCAGTATCAATTAGAGCTATTGTTTGTTTCATCTTCTTTGTGTTAGCCTACAGCAACAACTTGCATTTATATAGCGCCCTTCACACGTCTCTGAGTACTTATAAACCTACGTTCAAGATCACAAGAAGCCGTTTTCTCTCGTTGCAGAAATGAAAAAACCTTCTGCACTAATAATAACAATCCTTGCATTTGATACAGTGCCTTATCATGTCATTGAGACATCTCAAAGCATTTCACAGGATATACTGTAAAGTGGTGTATTTTGTGGGCAACACGCAGCAGCCAGTTGCGCACAACAATGTCCCACTAACAGCCGTAGAGTAAGTGACCAGTTTTATTTGGGGGATTGTTGGCCACAACACCACGAGAGAGAAACTCCCTTCTCTTTTTGAATAGTGCCACGGGATCTTTAACATCCATCTGAACAGGCAGATGGGGCCTCGGTTTAACATCCCAACTGAAGGATGCCACCTCGAACAATGCAATAGATCCCTAACACTGCAGTGGAGTAACAGTTTAAATAATGTGATTCCAAGTCCCACTTGTAGGGCTTGAACCCACAATCCAAGGCGAGTGTGCTACACAACGTGCCAGGCTGACATTCATGTTTGTTGTCATTCCTTTTTCATTGAGAAACGGGATGAGAACCTGTGCCCTTTAATCACAATTCTCTGTTGGTGTAAGTGACTAGTCACCACAATCTGTTCTGGAATCAGGAATTGGATCAAGCAGAAGATTCTTACTAGCGTTCTTTCCAATGCTTTCCTCTATTTCTTTCTCTATTATCTTTGTGACTTGACAGTTCAGAGCCTGGTCCGTGAATCACAGAGGATCCGAGAGAGCAAAGAGCAGCAGATCGCAGAGCTGAAGAAGATGGCTGAGCAGAGTGCCGACTGCTTAAAGAACGATTGGGAGAAAAAGGTACGACCTTCAAAGGCTGAGAGTTCGGACTCTTTCTTTATCTTGCTTGCCTTCATCCCAACGAGGCCAGTGCCTCACTCCCACAGCATGGGCTACTTTTTTTAAAATGACTTTGACCTCAATTCTGTTGACCAAAGTTACTGGCCTTGACTGGGAGGAACGTGAAGCTGGTGGATTTGGTGAAATACTGTATAACGAATACCTTGTGATCTCTGGGGTGATGGAATATCCATCTCACATGCTGAGCTTTCAGCCATTTAGTCATTTAATTGGAGACATACCACACAGGTTGAGTGTGAGTGTGATCTTCCAATACAGAGGTGAGCTGTGTTGTGTCTTTTCTATGCTGGATCCCAGAGTTTAAAGAGAGGTGCCAAGGGAACAAAGCGATGTCTGTTTGGGGAGAAGATTTTGCACGCCTCTCTGCTGATTGCAAATATTGTCTGAAATTTAGACACCTGACGAGGAACTGAAGAAGACTGAAAGCATTGAGTTGAAATGCTTTGGAAGAATTTCCAGGCAGACCTGAAGACAGGAGCAAGGCAGAAATTCATTTCATCAAGTATAATTGTCAGTGCAGCAAACAAGTGTCATTCAAAATATAATATACATAGCAACTTTCACACAGAATTAGATCAATGCAACATTTCATGGATAGCGGGTCCTGAAAACTCAATAGTAACATATTCCTAGACATTTGATGGGTATTCAGATGCGTTTCTGAAATAATCCTCGAGTGATCAAGTATACTTGCCAGGTTTACCTGTAATCAAGTCATTGATCTGGTAAAACACAACATCCAATATCTGCCATGTATAATCTTATCCAATTTGAGATAATTAGAATTGCTTTGTGCATTATAGGAATGTTACCTGGGGACAGCCACCAGATACAAGGAGGCAGGGAAAATGTTGGCTGTTGCCTGTGTCCAATGTTTTGAATGGTACATCCCATTATAAGCGCAGGTCAAAACGCTCACTTGTGTTAGTGAACAGCATCACAGAAAGGTAGCCTTGTTTCCCAATGCATGTAACAATGCAAATCCGTGACCGTCTGGAGAGAATTTCAACACTGAGGTTTTAAGTCAATTTGTCAGTAAAAGCTGTGGATGTTGATTTGTTATATTAATTTTTTAATCCAGTTGCACAACATTGTAGCAGATTTGGAGCAGGAGAAGTTTGAGCTGCAGAAGAAACACACGGGAAATATTCAAGAACTGCTGGAAGACACAAACTCACGCCTCGGCAAGATGGAGGCAGAGTACAGCGCTCAGACTAAAGCGACTGTAAGTGTTTACTGGTTCTAGAATGTCTCGGTGATCAAGTGTTTCCTGACAAAGCTACGGGCAGCAATCTGTTTGTGCATGCGCTACTGTGTTGTTTGCATTGGTGCTGCAAGCCACTGACAGCGCAGAAATAGAGCTAAAACCAGATCAAAAGACATGGAATTCGGAATCAGAAAGTCAGCTCAGCCCCAGAGACGGCCCCCTCTCTTTCCCAATATGGTCGCTAGTCGTCATTAGACATTGAATATTTCTTCTCAGCAAACCAGACTTTCAAGACATCAAAAAAAGGCATCACAATGCTGCTTATGATTTAATAATTAAACAAGTTAAAGGGCAAGCCGTGGCTTATGATAAAAGGATTCCGTCACTGAACATTAGGATGTGTGTCCAGACTGGCTTTCTTTTCCTTCAGAGAAGTGTCGAGAGCAAGGAGTTTGTCCTAGTGTCCCAGCCAATACTCCTCCCTCATCCGCATTCACCAAAAACAAACCGATTAATTGGTCATTCATCTCACTGCTCTCTGTGAGAAGTTGCTGGGGCAGATTAGCTGCTGCGTTACTCGACATCACAACATTTCAAAGTAACTCATTGTGTGAAGTGCTTTGAGACGTTCCGACGTGATTAGGAATCGGATCAAATGCAGGGATTATCACGAGCACAATAGCTTACCAACACTACAGGTGGGGCTCTGCCCTGCTGGATCCTCTTCTTTTTATTGTAGATACGTAATAATTTACTTTGTCGTTGACTGAATAGGCAGAACAACTCCAATGAACCTGATCTTAAACTATTGAGGGAAAAAAAGCAAATAATTGAGGGGTTTGGTTTGAAAGTCCGACAACCTGGGGTCTATGTCCTTATTAAGCAATATTGAAGCCGTACTGATCCTTTAATAATCTTTGCATTCATTGTTACCTTGGCTGCTGTTAACCTTTGACTGTGTCAGCCATGGTCAGATGAAAGTTTTCCATCAGGATATGGAGATAATTGCTGAGACAAAGCTGACTAACTGTATCCTGTTTCAGTGGCATCAAGCTTTTATTTACTGGGCTAGAAGGCAGAGGTCACCCCTTCCGTGCCTCCACCATCCAGCCTTCCATTCACTTTTTATTCTGTACTTTCAATTAGAATTCAGTAGTTATTGGAGAGTAGTTCTTACATTGGTAGCTAAGATTTGTCTTCGACTTGAATTTAAACTTAATGGCTTCTGTTAAAAGTGTTGTCTTCTTTGCTGGGGGTGGATAGTTGTAGCTATCTCTCTTCTCCCACCCCCAAAAAAAATCAAAAATATCAAAGAAGTTTATAGTCCAGTGAAAATAAGTGACTTTGGCATGAATTAAAGTGAAGCCATTTTCGTTGGTGGCCCTTGTGTAAAAATCACACCCTCATGTATGCTGGTCACAGAAAGTTGCATCAGGAGGTGACCCACCCAATCCATTTTCTACACTAGCCGTGTAGAAAATGTTGGTGGCCTTTCAGTTAGTGTAAACCGTGGATCCCAATTTAGTGGGGGTGCTAAAAATTGATCAAGAGCACACTCTCCCCTTGTTCATTTGTTCATTTGTTCATTTTCTTCTTCCCCTCATATTTGTTTTTTTTCTCTCTTTCACTCGGTCTGACTGTGTTTTCTCATTCTCTGGCTCGTGTTCTTTCTCTGGCTCAATCCAATTCTGGCTCTCCCTTTGTTGTGGTGCCGCAAAGTTTTGATGCTTTTGAAGCTGTGTTTGAATTGCATGACCCATGTCTGCAAACTCGCAGCTGCCTCTCATCCTCCTGGGCTTGTTTTTGAACAGCTGACAGCGGGACTGGCTATAATTTAACCAAACTCTGTGCAGTTTCTGACCAGCCGTTGAGGAGCTGATCAGACTGTGGAGAAAGGACTTGGTTGGACCGGTATTGCTAGATGAGATGCAAACAACTCTTCTATTTGCACCACGGAAACAATAATAATCCTTGCATTTGATATAGCACCTTATCGCGTCTTCGACACGTCTCAAAGCGCTTCACAGAATATTCTGTAAAGTGAATTGACTGTATATTTTGTGGGCAAAAAACGGCAGCCAATGTGCTTGAAACGAGTGGAGTGTTCAATAGACTGTAGTTATTGTATCTTTTGTGAGATGTGTGTATAAAACACGAGGCTGGGTTATCAGGAGGGGACTTTTCCTGGCACTATTGCAAGGTGGGAATGTCTATTGCCACAACACAAGAGATGCAGATAATTAAAACGGCAAATAGTCTATTGGATCTCATCCTACCAGAATATCTGCCTGATTGTCTTCCCATTACATTATGAAGCTGTTTATTAAAACAGTCCAGTTTCCTGGTGGCTGCACCTTACTTCTAGTTAATTACCTTCTGTAGAGAAATACTTCTGCGAAATTGGCCTTCACTTGTGTTCGCTTGTCCTCTGAAAGTGTTGTTTCTGGTTTTATTTTACCAATCCAATTTAGCATCTTTTAATAATAATAATCCTTGCATTTGATATAGCGCTTTTCACGTCTTCTAAACGTCCCAAAGCGCTTCACAGAATATACTGTAAAGTGAATTGACTGTATATTTGTGGGCGAACGCGGCAGCCAATTGCGCACAGCAATGTCCCACAAAACAGTCGTGGATTGAAAATGACCAATTTATTATTGTTTTTGGTTTTGGAGGGATTATTATCAGGCTGTGTGTGGAGTAAGGAAACTTGCCCAAGGTTTCGCCCTCTGCCTGGAATTGAACTCAGGTCTCTCACTTGCAAAGCGAGTGCTCTAACCACTGAGCTACAGGACTCCAACCCCCTCTCGTCAGCTCAGGTCCATCGTGGCCGTGCCGGTTGATTCAACTCCTCTTATGATCAATGGGCATGCAACAACAACTTGCATTTATATAGCGACCTTCAAGCGGGGTAGCGTCCCGGAGTGCTTAAATGCAGTGGTGTGCTGGCGATGCAGTGGTGGGCATGCAGCATTTGCTAGCAGTGGTGAACCTTGCACGGTGAGTTGTAAGAATTACAAGGATTCTGAACATAGTCCCTTTCTGGATTAGAACTTTGTTTAGTTGCCAGTCCATTATATATTTAAGCCTTGCATGATTCTAAAACATCTTTCTCCTGGATGACTGCAGCCTTCACCAAGAACAGCATCCGGAGCGATGCTCTCCAACTTTCTTTTCAAAAAATGGCCTGTTTGTTTAGATTGAAGGATCAAAATGCAACTTTGTGTATATTTCCTGCCATTTATCAAGTTCATAAATGCTGGTCCAGTGGAAGGAACTATTTATTTGTATGAACTAGACTGAATGATCGATGTCCAAAACAGCTTAAAGCAGGCAAATAGTTTGCACAACATCAATGGCTTCAGATGGTTTTATTAAAAACTGTTGTTGGGTTGCGTGCCAGAACCTCTGGGTACTTGTACGGAGCACAGTCATTGTGTACTCCGGTTGATGAGAAGTTTTGTTTTTGTGAAGAGCAGCACCTGTCGGTGGCTTTTGTCATCGGCTCCTTTTCATCCGAAATAAATGCGGGGTTTGAAGCTGTGTGTACAGCTGTCACTCTTACACTAATGAGTGATGGGATTTCTGAATCTCCCCCCATCCCCACACACTCCTTCCTCCCAATATCTTCCCCTTTGGGAGCATTGAGAGATTCACTCAATGACCTATCTACTGGGACGGAAGGAAAAGAACATACAGGAACTTCAGCACGAGAAGCAATGCATTTTCCAAATGCTTTTCTTCCTTACATTCATTAGAAGCATTTGGATCCATAATAAGCCATCAATGCATTTGATTTTTTTTGAAAAAAAAGCTTTCTGTGACTGCACGAAATGCGGATCTTTCACCAGGGCGCTCCTAAGTGTTATCAGTGTTGCTCTTGGCGCAAATGGAGTTTGCAGGCCTTTTTTGACGCACTGGTCACAGAGCTCAGTGACCAATCTGAATACGCTGGTGGTCAATCTGAAAGATGATGCTGTCATCACCAGCTGCTTCTGTTGATGGATTTTTCTCCCCAGTGTTTCTCCCTGTGGCTCGGGTTGGGGTATCGCGATTGTCTTATCTGCTGCCCAATCTCTGGTGTGCAGGATGTTTGATGACTGCTCTTAACCAGAAACAGGACAATAGACTCCAGCAACTGTGAGATCACAAGTGGCTTTGAAACCAAATAGCCCAGAGATGACTTCTTTGTAGCAAGATAGAACAGTCTAGTGTTTCAACAAGTAACTCTCTAATAGCAAATACTGCATCAGATAAAACATTTCAGCTGGATCACAGGCACGGAGCAAAAAAGGGTTGAGCATCACCTGTGGCCCTCTGCACATTCGGCCAAGATTATCTGTTTGTTTGTTTAGCTGGACTTTAGCTGTGACTTTTACCACAGTGTTTGTACTAATAGTAATCCCTGCATTTTACGTAGTGCCTTGTCACATCGTTCTGGCATCTCAAAGTTCTTCGCAGAATATATTGTAAAATGGATTCATTGTGTTTTTGTGCCGTATTTTGTGGGTGAAACGCGTCAGCCAATTTGCACGCAGCAGTGTCCCACAAACAGTTGTGGATTGAGTAATCACATTTTTTTGTTACAAATATTAAAGGGATCGTTTTCTCACCATCACTAACGTTCCCAAACTAAACAATTACAGAGAATTAGAATTAACTTTCATGTAATTTTTTTCTCTTCCTCTCTCTTCCCTGCCAAATGGTGAGTGAGTGCTGATATCTGGAGAGAAAGTGGTTGGGAGGAGCCCAGTTGTGGAAGAAAGCTGAATAAGCATCTTCAGGTCACTGCTGACACTGGCGCTAAAACTGACTTGTCTGGTTCCAATGCAAAGATGTTAATTCAATTTCCTCTTCATATGTGCTGCTTAGCAGCTTCCCGATAATGATATCAGTATCCATGGATTAAACAGATTCAATGGGAAAAGAAGCAGAAAAATGTATAAAGTTTATCCCCATGATGTTAAAAATAGTGAAAATGAGCATGTTGATCACTGGAACTTGATCTCTCACTTGAAGCAGTTTTCAAATGAATTTTAAATTTAGGCACATTTCTCAAAACCCTAACCTCGGTGTGTGATTTGGTGCTTTCTGTTACCATCTATCTATCCATCTATCCATCTATCCATCTATCCATCCATCCATCCATCCATCCATCCATCCATCCATCCATCCATCTATCTATCTTTTCTCCATGTCGTTATCCATCACATTGAATGGGAACACTGAGAATGTGGACAATCTATCCAGCTGGAGTAGGATTCAGCCACTGTGATAGCACGAAGGAAGCAATGGCAATACTGTACTGTGAAGTTTTATAAAGAAAGTGGGAAGAGTTTTAAAATGCAGTGCCCGGTGCTGGGGGTGGAATTTGTGCTATTGTCCAAAATCCAAAACCTTGTTGTCTGAATTGAAGCTTTATAGGCATGAGCCAACTATTTTGTCTTTCGATTCCTCTTAAACCAATAACATCAGTGTTGGGACCTTTACCCTGCTATTGCACAAGCTGGCGAACTCTCGCTTTCAGCCGTGAGCATTGTTGACATAAATTATTTGACCCAGAAAGATGTTATCCTGATTACTATAGCATAGGTGCAGGGGTGAATGAGTGTGGCTTAGTCACTAATCACCCCACCTCATGTGGGACGAGGACAGAGCAGTGCTTTGAATATCTTTAGAAGGCAGTCGTTAGGTGGAACTCAACTGGCCTTAAATATACCTCTCTTTTTCTTTTTCTCTCTTTTTCTTTCCCATTTTCTCTCTCTCTACTTTCCAGCACCTTGGGACATCCTCCCGACATGAAAGGTGCTTTACAAATGTAATTTTCTCTTAACTGTCCTCCCACCTTCCCTTTACCTTTTTCTCTCATGCTCTCTCGTCTTTCCTCTCTTGAAACTTACCCATGGCTGTGGTGGATAAAACACTACACCTAAGCTGGGTAATCTGCCTTTCTTCCTGATCAGAGAACAGCTATGCCATTTTGAAGGTCCCAGCAGCGATTATCCATGCTGCCTGGCCATTAAGATGAGCAAAGTTTTAGTTTATGAAAAGCAGATGTTTTCCGTCACATATTTTTCTCTGTAATGATTTTCTAACAAGTGTAATCCCGGTGTTTAAAAGACTTGTTTTTTCAGTTGTGATGTTTTGGGGCGTGATTGAAGACATTTCAGTTCATAGTTTAACAAACAATATATAAATGCAGCGATCCATGCAAACAGTGCATTTTAGTTATAATGATGCTTTATAATTAAATGGCAAAGTGAAAGGAGGAAAGTTGATTGAAGCCAAGCCTTTCCTAACATCGTTAGCAGATACAGGAGCTTGAGATGTAACTACTGAGCTGTGGCAGTGAAACTCATTATGAAATTATTGCACCCCCTCCTCCCATTAATAAACTTGTTAAAGCTTTACTACATACAATACTATATCTACCTGTCCTTAAATAATGTAACAAATGGTACGAAAAGACGCACAATTGTTTTGTTTACTTTCTGATTGTGAATATTGAGTACATTTTGTAGTGTTAAGTGTCCCCTGTGGAGTATTGGGAGATGTACAGAAAACCTATGTGTGACTGTAGTGGCCAGCAAAGGATGAAAGCACGGCAGGTCAGAGGGTTCCATTCAAACACCTGGCATTTATTTCAGTTTTAAAATGAAATTTGAGATTTTCCAAATGCAGAGAAGTCATTGCAAAAAGCCTGTGCCACTTGAGCTGTTTAGTGGACAGACTTGTGTATCTACTGTGTAAACAAACTCGGACATGGTGGGTTACCTGCTCCCTTGTCTCTGTAGAACCAGATGGTGAAGGAGTTGGAGACCCGTGTGCAGCAGCTGACTGTGGAGGCTGAGAGCAACATGCTGGTGCGGCAGAAACTGATGCAGGACAAGGGGGAGTTGGAGCAGCGCTGCCACAGGCTGTCCTCGGAGTTACAGGACGTCAAGTCAAGGTATAGAGTGACCACAGTAAAGGCCAGAACTGGTTTCCTCTCTGAGGCCAAGATAAACTAAGACAGTTTGAGTTTCGAGGGGGTGTACATCCAGAATCTGAGGTGCATGTGCCCCGGGCACATAGGGGAAAGAGGGAATCGTGTGTCTAGGGGAGGAGGGGAGGATTGAACAGTGGAGGTGGATGAATGCTCTGTAGTTTTTGCTGGGTTACCTCTGGGATCCCCAAGCAGGACTTTCTCTGGAAAATAATGTGTGGGGTGAGGACCACAAGAGGGAAGTTTTTGCCTTGTCTGGAGGAGCAGCTTTAATGGACCAAATTACCTTTTTCTTATCTTATAATTTGAACGGAGCTGTCATGAAATTGCCCCTCAGGTGCTGAGCGAGTTGGAAACTCTCGGGAGAAAGTTCCACTACAAATACACAGTTGCTGCCCTTCGCAGAAACTTGGGAAAGCACTTTAATATGTTCTCAACTTTGATAGGGGCTATATCAAATGCAAGGGTTATTGTTGTAATTTGGCTGTGTCCATGGACAATCACAGATTCTCCGATCATAATGGACGCTTCAAGTTCACTGGTGTCTTTAACTTTCTGAGTATAAACATCCCTTACAGGATGGAAAGTACACACGTTGGGTTAGAATTTGCATGTTTTTGTACAGTGCTCTGAGACATTATTACCCTATGTGAAGGATAGTATATTAAATGTAAGTTGGTGTATAAGTGTCAGTATTAAGAAAATACTTAAATTGAGACTGCGAATTGGTTGAAATTCTGCTAGATATTCTGTAATATTGCAATGTGGCCTGACGCAAAACAGTCTTAATTGGAACAGTATGAAGAACGTAAGAAATACAGTTTCATTTATACTTTAAATGAAAGTCCTACTAAATATGGTTCTGTTTTTTTGTACAATGCAAAAATGCAACAGCAATGGCCCAAGAGAAAAGATGCTGAGGCCTAAGGAGGATTTGCTCGGTTCAGGTTTTGATGGTTTATGGATTCTTCCTCTATGTTTGCTTCGTGGACAGTTACAACATGTCTAAACGGGCAACGTTCAATGTTTTAAAATGTTCTGCAGCGACAGAATAACGCACAACAAAGTACAGCGAATCTACTGGAGAAATGCGATGATATGTTTACACGTAAACATTTGCACCAGTGGGTAGCACATTATTTCCCCAAAATACATGTTTTAAAGCGTACATTTAAAGAAAAATGTAAATAGTGAAACTTCAGAGTCCAAAATAATGTAAATAAATTGCTTAAGAATGCACAGCAAACCCCCGACCAAAATGACTAGTTCTGACAAGCTGACAACATCTGACCTTTCGGTGACATCCACCATCAGTGCAATTGGATAGACCTTCTCCTGCTGGCAATGGTACACTGTCATTCCGAACAAGACCATAAAAACATTACCAGCAGATGGAATAATTACAATATACAGGGACTAAAATGGTTATTGATGATCGACTGCTCATTGTAACCCAATCACTGCTAATTATCTTATGGCGACCAACGACCCCCACAGTGTGGCGAACACTGTACCTCACCAACGCTGTTTTGTGTAATGATATCCTCTCTCTCTCTTCATGATAAACCCACACTGTGCTTGTTTTTCTACTTTCTCTTCCTCCCTCCTTCCCTCCCTCAGATACGGTGCTCTTCAGAAAGACAAGCAGCATGTGCTGCAGGAACACGAGCAGACCAGGAGACAATTGCAGAGCAAACGTGATTCGGAGGTGAACTACTTGAAGCAAGAACAGGCTCGGTCAGCAGCTAAGGTACATCACAACCAAGTAACCAGGCTCCTCAGCCCCTTCCACCCACCCACACACTCCCCTACCCGGTTTCTCCCCATATCTCCTTTATATGTTTCTTTATAAAATACTTCTTTAATTGCTTTTTCATGTACAGTCTTTCAGACTGACCTCTGGAGTTTTACTGCTAACCATAGTAAAAGATGAACCTTAAGATTGTGCGTTGCCCATGTGCACAAGATACACCAAGACACAGCAGATGATTGAGTGAGTGTGGGTGTGTGCAAGTGTGTGTGAATTGCAATGACAAGCATCCATTCAGTCATTACAATTGTGTGATTTATTTTAACACTAAGTATGGTGCTGTAATCCTTCAATTTGCTTTGTTACTTTCATGTGAAAGATTGCTTTTCAAACTGGTTTCTATTATTCCTCCCCCTCCCCCCCCCCACTACACACATAGGCGGCTGAAGTTATAGAAGATCTGGAACAGAATGTAATCCAATTTAAGAAAGAGATCCAGGAAAGTGAATATCAGAAACATCAGGAGCTGAGGGTGAGTACTGAGCAGGTGGGATGAGAGGCGGGGTGAACTGCTGAAATTCTGCTAGATATTCTGTAACACCTCAATTTGACACGTCCCACATGTTGTATACGATCAATACATAAATCAGAAACCACAGGGTAGTGAGTTTCAGTTAAATTTAACATTGTACTGATTAAGGGAGTTTCATTGGGAATGTCAACCAACAGTCCCCCAGATACAAAGTTGGTCATTCATTTCACAGCTATTTTGTGGGAAGTTGTTGTGCCTCAAATTGGTTGCCGCATATAAAACAAAATGGAATTTCAGGCCTCAGATATTTGTGTGTATGTGTGTGTGAGTGTGTGTGTGTGTGTGTATGTATGTATGTATCCTAATGCAGTTTCACTGGCAGCTAGAGACCCCTGCAGGAAAGTGTGTATAGATGTCGGGTAAGAAGAGGAATGGGCTTGACCTTGATGCTTCGTACAGTTGAACAGCCTCCAAACACTCACCATGTTCCAGCATTGAGGCAGCTCCTTCAGGAGATAAATTAGAAATAAACCACAGATCTGCTTATTGTTTGATTGAGAATTGCTGCACACAGTGAATGCCCCTGATTTTCTTTTTTCAGAATCAAGCAGGAAAATCAGAGCAGGAAAAGCTGCAACTGGAGCAACTGCATGGAAAGCAGGTAATGAAGTAAAGCTGTAAAGTCTATGTTGTGTCAGCCTTGCCGTCGTCTCCCATCAGCCACGTTGGAAGCATGCAGAAGCGTCAGATACAATACCCTGGTGGAAGGTTCGGTATCTTTCATATTTGTCAGTGAAAGGAAAGTTAAATGTGCATTTCTTTTCATGAAAACTGGAGCCTTTTAATTGAAACCCAGAGCATTATCTATTCTGTGACTCATGTGTCACAGTTTGTGTGTTTGTGTTACTGTGTGTATGTGTGTGTCACTGTGTGTATGTGTCTGCGTGTCTCAATGTTCCCGTCACAATGTGTGTGTTTGTATGTATGTGCGTCAATGTGTGTGGGTGTGTGTGCATGTGTGTCACATTGTGTGTGTTGTGTATCCTAATATAGTTACACATTTTATGTCTAACGTTGAATGAAATGTAATAAAACTAAATGTGGTTGTATAATGTCCTGTTGTAACCCACCAAATCAGGCAGACTGGCTTGTATAAGTGCAAGACACACCTGCTTTCTGCTGCTGGCCTGCTGTTTTCCGCCCCAATAAAGCTGTAGTGGACAATGGTGGTGGCCCAGGTTGGAGAACAGTAATTAGAGCAGCTGCAGGGAGCATTCTCCTCCGGGGAAGGGGAAATGATGGGCAGCGGTTCCTGCAAGGTGCTGGAAATGCCACCAGGCACGCAAGCACCTCTGATTTTCGGTCATGTAATAAATGAGATTCAATAGAGGGAGGATGAAAGAAAGGTTTGTCGTTTGTGTTATTAAAGGTATTACATGCACGGACGTCCCATCCACATTGTGTTGGGTGCCGATCTGTTTGTAATGCTGGAGTACTGAAACTTTTAAGTCCGTCCTCTGATGCAATCAGTACACAGCACAAAAATAGATAGCTACAAAGTTTACAAAAGTATTCCTTTAATGTATTGTCTTCTCTTTCGCATTGTGTGTGTGGGGACAACATTTATCAATGAGATGTTTTCAATCACCTTGGCTAGATTCAAGTTTAGACCATTTTGACGCACTACAGTTACTACACTTGGCAGCAATTACCTGTGAAGCACTTTGAGACACTTTGACATTTAGGCGTTATATCAAATCCAGGGATTATTAAAAACAGGCTTTAGAGGTGGAAGAACAGCCTATTATAGCCGCTGTGGTAATGTAGCACACCCCGCCACCCCCCACCCCAACCTGGCAGCCCCCAAGTGAACAAATGCCATCAGCACTAGCCCCGGGGTCTAAATCTGCAGTTCACCAGATCTTGAATTTTGTGGAGACTGAACACTTGCTTGTTGGTGCCTTCTATTCTGACAGAGTTGTTGTTTTAGTGCTAACAACACAATGTCTGAATCAAACACATGTGTTGTATTTCAGATCCAAGCCTTGCGGAACGAGAGTGACAAGGAGCAAGCGGAGGCCTCAAAACAAATTCGCAAGCTGGAAGATGCTCTTCGGTAAAGAACAATTTTCCTCCAATTTGCTTTTCAAAAGCATTTTTTGGAGTACTATTCTCAGTGAATTCTTGTCTTGCTGTGCGCGTGTACTTCTGGGCTGAGTGGAGTTCAGCGGTTAGCCTGTGCCGAGTGAGACTATTAAGGGGTGACTGAAGGCAGAGTAGGATGCAAGTCTTTGCTTAGCTTCTGTTGGAATATTTCACAGCTCAGCCACACGAGTAACTTTTGAAGCTCCTGCATTTGAATTCCATCACTCGTGGTTTGGGAACAATCTGGAGGATTGTGTACTGTGCCCTATGTTCCTTCTGTCTTGTAAACTCTAAGCAATTGGGAGGAAATTAGACCCTGACTAAGCTTACTTAGCCGGTTAGATTCCTGGAAATTACAACATTAGAGGAAGCCATTTGGCTCATCATGTCTGGGCTGGGTCACTCTCAATGAAGGGAAAGAGGAGATCCGTCTTTTATTGCTAAACTGCTGGGATGCCTCTGATCCTGAGCTTGAGACAGTTAGTTCTACCGCGCCTCTCACTGAGAAGGCCACTGCTAGGTGGCTGTGTTGCTATGGGGATTAAATGGTTATGCAAGTTATTGCTCTAGAGTTCTTTCAGCATGGACCATTGGAGGTTGATGGAGGTTTCTGCATTGTGCATAGTGCCAGGTTCTTCAGTTATGCCTGTGTGGGCTCCACAGCATTAAGCAAGAGTCCATTTGTGATCCTGAACGATTGTTCATCATTTTATTAATGTTTCGGGCAAAGTGCTGCATTCGAGATAAAATGGGTTGTAGGATAGAACACAGCAGCACTCTGCTGGAGAGAGTACTTCGCAGGCCATTCTTTCAGTCTGATGATGGGTCTTGCTGGAAACAGGAATGTATCTTTCTATTTGAGATGCTTTCGGTTACGCTTTTGTTGTGTTAAACCATTGATGTCTCGTGACAATCATCTGACAAATCGAGTTTTCAGTGGCTAAGGGGCCATCTGGTTTAATTAGATCATCAAAATGGCTGATTTCAAAACCAGCGCAAAGACCATTGGGGTCAGTGAAAGTGAGCGAATTATAGCGTCTGTCCACTTTCACTCCAGCTACCCTCTGCAGGATTGCCAGCTGTATATACCGTGTGCAAAATGCTTTTTGCCAGTCTTAAAAATAGAAGCAATATTTTTGAAATGCATTTCGTGATCGGATGTAGAGGGGAGTTTGAGGGTTTTAAATTGTATGTAATTACAAAGTGGTTCCATTTAATCCTTTCCCAACAGTAGTCTATACTGTAGTAAATCACTGAAGACAATTTATTTCTGCATTTTTTTTCCAAATGCAGAGGAATATGTGAAAATCATTCAATCTGCATGTCTCCAAAGCTCCCAATTACTTTACAGCGAGTAAGAGTGTTTATTGAATTACCGGTGAGGTACAAAGGTGACATTTGAGAATTGATAGGCCGTGAGGGTTTACGGCTAATCCTAAAAGGGATGAGAAGACCTGTTTCCAGCTAGTAATTTTCGGATTAAATCAGATTTTTAAATTATGTTTTTGAACATCCTAAAGGATTATGAAGGAAAAATGCTTCAGAACTCAGCAAATATTGGGATCCACAGTAAACTGGATCCAGCTTTACTACCCGTTCCCCTCATCACTCGACATTAATTTGAAAATCACACCAGGCGTTCTTGCCAGTGATCAGAACAAGTAAAAAACTTGAACTTGCATTTTCCTGGTGCCTTATCCCGTGACAAAATGTCTCAAACAGCTTTGCAGGTAATCATTGCAGAGTTTATTGACTGATTCTATAGGCAGGCATGGCAGCTAATTTGTGCACATTGCCGTGCTTCCAGTTAACATGGGTCCGTAGGACACCAGTGCTGTAGGTCAGGCAGGTGTTATAATGAGTTTTGTTTATATGATATTGACCAAAAATATTGAAATGGCTTTTATAATTATCCCTCACTTTGGATTATTTTACTTCTGGATTTTGAATGTAAAATGTAACGTAATGAAAAAATAAATGATGTCCATTTCCCCCCTCCACCCCAGTTTACAGGAAAACATAAAAAAAGGCCTGCCTCCAGCATTGACATATATTTAGTTGAAGTGCTTTCACTGATAAATAGCGTTCAGAAATGTAACAGCCAATGGAAGCACTGAAGAGATAATAATAATAATTATAATCCTTGCATTTGATATAGCACCCCATCATGACCTCAAGACATCTCAAAGTGCTTCACAGAATATACTGCAAAGTGTAGTGACTGTACACTTTGTGGGTGAAACTGTGTCATAAGACTGTGGGTGATTCCAAAATTTAGATAGTTCAGGAGTGTTTGTTCACCTGAGGGGAAAGATTTAATGAGGACTGGGCTCAGTCACAGCTACTTTCTTATTGTGTGTGTGTGTGTGTGTGCTTCCCTAACCTGTTTGAATGGGCCAATTTTAGACCACTAACACTTCTCTGCAGTCTCCTTGATCAGTTTGCCAACGGTATCCTTGTCACAACTCTGCATCTGTGCTTCTGGATAGTTGTCTAGAAAGCCTGTCTGAAATCTGCCCTGATTTGCACTTTTGACAACGTTTGCTTCATCGGTGTGCCCTTTCCCACTGAACTATCACTTACAGCAGAAGAACCAGCAGCTCCAATAGCAAAGCTGAGTGATAACTCAGTGAGGCTGTGAGATTAAAGCATCGGAGAAAAAACGTTGGAAGTAAGCAATGCATGTGTCTGTTTGTGGTATATAATTGCAGTGACAGACATCTGCATGCTTCTGCTGTATTGAGACTAATGGATATCTGGGAGTGATTACATAGAGGAATCCAACTGTGGGGTGCAGATGATGTCATGAAACTTTTATACAAACCTGTGCTTGCCTTATATATTTTAAAGTTGAGATCAGAGCAGTCTGGGAGCAGCCGTGCTGTGTTAGATGCTCTCCTCTCTGATCTCATGCCGTGCCCCAGCGCTACTGTAATCGGGGATTCTGCCTGCATCCCTCCAGTCCTCCTTCATGATGTGTCTGCACAGGAGATTCAGCACAAAATGTCTGCTCCCAAGCTGCTTCTAACTGGCAATTTAAAGCATGAATCACAGGAACAATGAAAGACTGAGCAAGACGCCAGTTGGTGACCAAGATTTCTTTTCATAACACTAAGAATCATGCAGCAGTTCACATGAATGTACTTCCTCTACAGCTTCTTGTTTTTGCCAGAACTGAATGTTTCCAGCTCCTCTTCAAAACATGTTTTGAACTCCTGAATCCATTTTGATGCAAACTGATTTCAGCCAGAGGCAGCCCTGCAGTGGGTACTTGACAGTGAGTGGCTGAAAGCAGAAATAAGTATGCTTGAAAAATATACAGCTGTTCCTTATTGTATATGGCCTATCAGCATCTGAAACCTATTTAAGCAATAACAGTCACAGTTTCCATAGTCTATCGCGAGGCATTCTGTTTGCCCTTTCCTGCATGCTGGCTGACCTTCCCTCCAGGGGGCAGAATGTGAAGTAGGAACAGAGGACAGAAATATGCAGGAATCGTATTTAATGGTCTCACAAAAGCCGAGAAAAGGGAATGGTATTTTAGTTACGCAGCTGAATCCAGCTTAGCGAAACCTAAAATAAACGTTTATGCCAGATCAAGAATTTTTGGATTTGAAGCCTCTGGGAATTTATTTAGGGGGGGGAGGAATTATGTTAAAGATCTGAAATTTTATGAGATGTTGGGAATATTAAAAGTAAATAATTTCCAAGCGAGCCCACTGGTGCAGGAGGGCCTGGCGTGCTCTGTCACAGAGTAGGTTCAAGTTTCTGCAATCTCTGCCGAGTCCTGGCTCAGTTGGGAATTTGGGGGGTGGGGAACAGAGCATTGAGGAACCGTGGAAACTTTTCGAGGTTGAGTTGAACCGCAAGGCTTTGTGCCTCCTCCCTCCCCAGCAAGCAGTTCAGAGTGACATTCGTGGAGATCTGGAGACAAAATCTTGCGTGTCTTTCACATCAAAGGATCATCTCAAATCTGTGAATTCCCCTTTCCTCTTCTCTCCAGTTCTAGTCCAGGGATGGTAACATTCCTATGACTACAACAACTCACATTTATACAGCACCTTTCACCAAAGAGATGTTCGTTTTGAAGCACTTTACAAAGTAAGAATGATTAGAAGTGAAATGAATGTATGGGAGTGAGTCCAGTGGCTGATTTGCACCCAGCGATGTTCTACAAACCACCTATGGGATGAGTGGCCAGTTGATCTGAATCCTTTAATGTCCCACTTGAGTCACAAGGCCGATGGAACGTTAATGGGAAAAGGGATGATGAGCTGGAAATAAATAATAAGTTTATATTTGATGTTTTTTTAGATTACATAACTGTCTGCTTAGTCAGGCCTTGTAAGACGGCAACTGTCTAAAGAATAGGTTCAATGGCATTTTTTGAAAGATAGTAATTGCTAATTACCCTCTTGTCGAGTAAATGAGAAATACCATACATTTTACTGTCTAAATACTTACATCTCACACCATGATAACAGGTTACTGCTAATGACCAATGAATGTTTCTCAGTGCAGCTGAGCTGACCCACAGTTGTCACAAGCTATTTCTCCACCTTAATGTATAGGTGGCAGCTTCCTCCATCAACCTGTTGCAAAACCGTACCTCCTGAGAGCCATCTGTTGCGAGAATTTTGATGGTTTTTCAGCACATGTCAATTTCAGGAGCGCAAGGTTTGTGTGCTCTGACCACAGATCTCTACTCTCCACCCCAGGCTCCTGTCAATCACTGAGCCAGAACCCACTGTCATTAGCGTGAGAACACAAAGAGCGCTTTTCTGCAGGGGACCCCGCTTTAGAAATCCATTAGCATCATAATGAACAGCGCTGGGTATGAAAAATTGTTTCAACAAGTGAGATTTTTTAATTATTGACTTTTAAATGAAGCGTGTGCTCATCCCGTTGCAGGGTATTTTCGAGTTTGAGAATATAAGTTTTTCTATTTGCCGTCCAGGACCTACACCATGT